TTTGTACTTCTTTTGTTTCCAGCATCTTTGCTCTGGGCCTGAGCCCTCACCATCCCTTGTACCTCCATTGACCTCACTCTCATGTAAATAAATCTTTGCATTACCAGAGGAGCTACTGCTCCTCTCGTCTTCCATAGTCTTAGACTCAGATAGGACGTTAAACCAATCAATCAATCAATCAATCAGGGGCAAGAGCGACTCCATCACTGTTACCAATTGCGCTAGACTAAAAATAGCAATAATACTACAGTACTACGCAAATTACGGCTACTACGGCTTACTACGGCGTAATTTTGGGACATTACGATTGACGATGATCGCCGTACAGTACGGCAATTGACCTTTACCGTACACCGTTCCCTCCCGTTGGACACGCTGCCAATACCTGCAGCTTTTGTTCCTCAACCCTCCTACCTGTCATTATCCGGGGTTTGGGCTATTCAAGCGTTCGGACCTACCTGCTGAAAGTGTCGGTCTACATCTGGGCTTCTGTCGTTTGTATCTCAGTTGCTTTTGCCTCTGACTACTTCCAACGGAGAGTATTCTTAATGGTGCCCTCTTGCGCTAGAGACCGCCGCTGGCTACGCCAAGCAGCTTGGCGTTGCGATGTCATTAGTTACTGTTCTATATGTCTTGACTTTGATCACCACCACAGGTATATACTGCGTTGTAGGTCTCAACATCACCTGGATCATCAACAACAACGCAGGATTCTTCAACCGCGCCACAGCTATCGGTCTCCAGCAAACGATCGGCAATAGTGCAGGGATCATGGCAGGACAGATCTATCGCATCACTGATAGCAATGGTCACTACGTGATCGGGCAGGCAATATCATTTACGACTATCACGCTGGCGACGTGTGGCTATGCTACCATGTACTTCCTTGTACGCCGATCGAACCAGAAGGGAGAGGCAATGGTGATTGGTGAGAATCACGGACATCAACTCCGGCAAGATGGGCGACCGCCATCCTGACATCAGGTACACATTATAGCTCTTCGGAAGGCAAGCGTCGAGCACTACGAAAAGGAGAAGACGCAATGTTCATTCCCATTTATGTTTTTGAGCTAGGTTTGAGGTTCTTGAATGTCTTTGTGATGTTCGTGATCGCTTCCTCGACCGGCAACCTCTCCATCGAACTCGCGCCGTAGAAGCCGTGCACGCCCTTCGTCCTGCTGATGACATACTCTGCGTCATATGGCTTTGCAATAGGACCTCCATGACACAGAACGATAATATCGTCCTTGATCTCTGTCGCTGCATCTCTAATATCCTGGACCAGCTTCACACAGTCATCCAAGCTCTTTCCGCTTGCTGCACCGATACTGCCAGACGTCGTCAGGCCCATATGTGCAACTAGAATGTCTGCGCCTGCATCGGCCATCTTCTTTGCCTCTTGAACATTGAAAACGTACGGCGTAGTCAGAAGGCCCATCTTGCGAGCTTTTCGCATGACTTCGACTTCCGCATCGTAGCTCATACCTGTCTCCTCAAGGTTTTGCCGAAAGGTGCCGTCAATGAGGCCGACTGTGGGAAAGTTTTGGATGCCTGCAAAACCGAGGTCCTTGAGTTGAACCAAGAACCGGTCCATCGACTTGAAGGGGTCCGTGGCACATACTCCTGCTAACACTGGTGTTTTCTGGACAATAGGAAGGACTTCCCCAGCCTAAAGTCGTTTGGTCAGCGGCTTGCGCCTTGAAGCATGCCTTGATCGAGGCATTAAGTCTCACCATTTCAAGAACAACGTCATTCGCGTTGCCGTAAGGCATGAGGCCTGCAAGCGAGCCTCGTCCTGCCATGCGGTACCGGCCGCTATTGTAAATGATGATCAAGTCACCACCACCTTGCTCGATGAACTTTGCGCTGAGGCCAATGCCGGCGCCTGCACCTACAATCAACTCTCCATTGTCAATCAACTTGCGAAGGCTGGCAAGAATCTCTTCTCGGTTGTTTGGTGGTGACATTCTGACGATGGTCTGATGTTGTTGTTGGATTGGCCTCAATCTTCACGAGAAGTAAGGTACTGCCGGATGACGTAACGTGTGACGCGGGGAGCGATCCACTTTCCCACCACATCGTTCTCTCCGATTGTCCTCAATGACTTTGCAATTCTTCCAAGATGGCGCGCGTTGTCCTCCTCGGAACCTGCGATACCAAGCTCGATGAGCTTTTGTTCCTGCGCGATGTCATTCGCGAGGCCAATGTTGAGGTCATGCTGATTGACGTGGGTCGCTCCGTGATGAACCACGAGTCCATCACGGTATCCCAAGCGGATCTGTTGAGAAGATATGGCGGCGGCAAGAACGTTACCGAGGAAGAGCGGGGAGATGTTATCAAGACTATGGCAGACTGTGCAACGAAGGCAGTCAAGTCTCTTCATGATGAGAGCTTTATCCAGGGCATCATCGCAGCAGGTGGCTCAGGAGGCACTTCAATTGCAGCTACAGTCATGAGAGATGCGCTGCCAGTTGGTTTCCCAAAGCTGATCGTTTCGACAATCGCGAGCGGCGACACTGGGCCGATAGTGGGCGAGACAGATATATCACTTATGTACTCTGTGGTAGACGTCGCCGGCCTGAATGAGGTCCTGAGGAGTGTCCTTAGCAATGCAGGAACAGCGATAGCCGGCATGGCCCTCGGACAGTCTCGAAGAAGCCGGCAAACAAATTCTTCCACGAAGAAACGAGTCGGCATTACCATGTTTGGTGTTACTACACCTGCAGTGGACGAAATCCGAAAACATCTTGAGTCAAAATATGATGTCGAGACTTTCGTATTTCATGCAACGGGTCACGGTGGCAAGGCTATGGAGCGATTGATCAACGAGGGCCGGATCGATGCTGTGCTCGACCTGACAACGACTGAAATATGCGACCATGTCACTGGCGGTGTGATGAGCGCTGGACCACAGCGACTCGAGGCCGCTGCTGCAGCTGGCATACCCAACATTATCTCCCTGGGCGCAACGGACATGACCAACTTTGGCCCCTTGAACACCGTACCAGAGCGTTACAAGGACCGCAAGTTGTACGAACATAATCCAGTCGTAACCCTCATGCGTACATCGCAAGAGGAAGCCACTGAAGTGGGCGAGTTCATCGTATCGAAGCTGAAAAATCACACGAAGGATCCGAATGCTGTCCAAGTGTGGTTGCCAAAGGGTGGGACAAGCATGATTGCAACTCCAGACGGGCCTTTCGCAGATCAAGAAGCAGACGCAAAACTCTTCCATACCATCAAAGACGGGCTCGCAGATAGCGGTATCGAGGTCGTGGAGGATGATAGGGCGGTGAATGATGCAGGCTTTGCGCGCGACATAGCAGAAGCTCTGGCTGCGAAGCTTATGCCAAGTCCAAAATCGGACGGTTGACCGTTTCATGAGGCCATAACACGAGCCCTTTGGTTGCCTAGCTTGGTGGGTCCAATATAGAAACTGCGCCTTCAGGCCTGCTGCAGGTCATTTTAAGTCACAGTCTGATTGGCTGGGCGGTACCCGGCGAGGCCTGCGCCGCCTAGCTCCGACGCTACAACACCACTGAAAGAACTCACGATCCCACCCTCATCTTTGAAAGTGGTTACTGTTCTCCCCTCCGAAGTCACTCCTTCTACATTTCGACATGTTGGCACGCTCGGGCGTCCTGTCACTCGCTTTTACTCTTCTCACCGGCCATGCAGCGGCTATCGATCTGGATATAAACAGCAAGGGTCAGCCGCATTACATACCTCCCAGGCCATTCTGCATGCTGACAAGTAGAGAATAGACTCGATAAAGTCTGCAGCAAAGGTTCTGGCAAGCGGTATCGTTGCGTTCTACGATGAGACCTTGAATGAGGATTTGATCCCTGGCCTTTTCCCCCACCCATACTATTGGTGGGAGTCCGGCTTAGCCTTCAATGCCTTGGTAGACTACTATGGTCTCACGAACGATTCTGAATACAATTCTCGCATCTCAGAAGCCCTGCAACATCAGCTCGGTGATTACGATGCCTTCATGCCAGCCAATCAGACCAAAGTTCTCGGTAACGATGATCAAAGCTTCTGGGGCCTTGCTTCTTTGTCTGCGCATGAAGTCCAACTTCCAGCGCCTGCGTCAGGCAGCTGGTTAGAGTTTGCGAAGAATGTTTTCGACACCCAGACGTCGCGCTGGGACACCCACAGCTGTGATGGGGGCCTCAAGTGGCAGATCTTTACCTTCAACGATGGTTATAACTACAAGAACGCTGCGTCTAATGGTCAACTGTTCCTTCTGGCTGCCCGACTTGCGGACCAGACCGGAAATGCTACGTATGCAGAATGGGCAAACAAAATCTATAACTGGACCACTGAAGTTGGCCTCGTTTCGGCCGATCAGCATGTGTACGACGGTACAGATGACAGGCAAAACTGCTCAGCTGTCAACCACATCCAGTGGACGAACAATCACGCAGAGTTCACGGAGGGTGCTGCGCTTATGTACAAAGCTGTGAGTATCGCCGTAGTGAATAATGAGTTGAGCTTGCTAAGGTGCCTAAGTCAAATGGTTCTCAAAAATGGACTGATATCGTCACTGGCTTTGTAAAAGCTTCATCAACCTTCACAGGCGATGGTGGTGCACTTATCGAAGCGGCATGCGAGAAGAATGGAAAGTGCGACATCGACCAGCGAGCTTTCAAGGGCATTGCCGTGCGCTCTTTTGGTCGGGCTGCTCAAGTCGCCCCTATCGTCGCAGACTCTATTCACGCGATGCTGAACGCCTCTGCTAAAGGCGCAGCCAAGAATTGCGAAAGCGGCGGTGATAATGTTGTGTGCGGACTTAGCTGGTCAAGTTCGAGTAATGGCACCTCGGAGCAGGCCACTGCTGCAGATGGTAACCTCGGCGAAGTCCTTAACGCGTTGCAGGCGATTCAGGCACTGCTATGGCCCACTGTCAAGTTCATCAACAGCACTATTGGGACCGTGAGCCCTAACGCAACTACAAGCGGAAGCCCTACAGGAACTTCTGATGGCGCTCAGCACACCGGCAGTGGAGCGACTCTTGCAGCATCGTTCACGCTTGTACTGGCTATTGCTTTCACTACGGCCTTGAGTTGCTAATAATTTAGCAACGGTGTGTGAGGGATATGTCAAGTAACAAACTATTGTAGAATTAAACATGGAAGGCATTTGATCAAGGAGCGGTGTGAGAGAGGACCAACTGGAGATACCAACTGCTCTATGACATGGATGGATTGGTGGAAGGAAGGTTCAGGATTGTTGGAGATATGGGTGTGGAAGAGACCAAGTGTGGGAATATGTAACGGGGTAACGGTGCGGTAGTGAAGTAGGCTGTCACGTGTCAGGACAATGGCGCTAACCCATTGCGATGCTAGCGTGGTATGAGCAAGAGCACATAGATTGATTGATTGATTGATTGGTTTAACGTCCTATCTGAGTCTAAGACTATGGAAGACAAGAGGAGCAGTAGCTCCACTGGTAATGCGTCGACATCTCTATTGTTCCCCAGGCCTCCTGGCATCCCAAATCCATCAGAATCCATCTCAGTACACTCCCAAGAGCCATTCCCTCCATTTTCAGACCCTCCAGCCTTCTGGTTGTGGAGTGCAGCCCAGGTGCAGTCCTGCTGGCTGTTCTGCCCCTCAATTGCAGAATTTTCCGGTCAGATCCTCTGCAAACAGCCTGCAACACCACCATTTGGCCCTCCCAGGCCTCCCCCAGGCCCTGCACCATTGATATTTCATCAGCATCCATCTCAATACACCTCAGGCTATCACCTCCTCCAATTTTGGACCCTCCAGGCCATTATTGAGCTGTGCATCCCAACTGCAAGCCTCCTGCTCCTGACCGGAAATTTTGAAGTTCTTGTGGCTGGACCCTG